GTTAGTTAGATTTTCTGCTTCCATTTGCAGTAGTTGATTGAAATCAGCTTGATTGTGGTAATTATCGTGGCTTTGCGTCATACTATTGCCCGTTTTGCCCGTAAGGTATACTGCGGGAGAACAACAATAGGACGTGTAAATAATAAACAGTAATACAGAGAGGAACGATTATGCAAAGTACGTCTTATCTGTACGAATGCAGCGTGAGGAATGATTATTTGAGTTTTGTCATAAACAGTTGTGTGATACAATTACTTCAACAGAATATCTATGTATACAAACTTAATTTATCTCTTGACATCTATTCGTACATCTAAAAAGTTTGTTAAATAACGTAAAACAATGTGTTAATATGGCGGATATATGATACTACCTGTCGACGTCAATAAGCAATATGAAAATGCTCCTATCTAGTTACATTTTATTTTATATTCTTATCGCGACGAAAAATGTCGATAAGCATGCATGGAATAAAGATGAGATAGATGAAAGGCCATTCTTTCTTTGGTGCAATACATTATAGTAAGAAGGAGAATGTGCATATTCTGACTGACTAACTATACACGACCAATCCAGAATATGCGAAGAAAAGGATAGAGAAAAATGAATGATGATGAAGGGAGTAGCCGTCTGTATTCTATCATATGCACTGATGAATCGTCATATAATCTATTGCAATGTTATGAATACTCTAAAAAAGCTCGACGCCAAAAACGAACGTTAGAGGTAATGGCATTCTATCGTTTATAGTCGAGCTAGTTCTTGTGATACAGTGGGAGTTTTGTGATTTTCAGCACCAGTATGAACTAACTAATACTGTCGTATGCGTCCAGATATTGTGAATGCTTAATGTGACATCTATACAAACAGCACGTTTCAAGTAACATTCGAATTACTGCGTGAGATTCATGAGCAAGTACAGCAGTACACACTACACTAAAAATTAGTTTTTCGATGGAACTCAGGTATGTAGTGAGGAATTGCCTATGAAGAGAGATCATCATAATACAGAAAACGTTTTCACTTCGCGAAAGTTTCTGTTTTCGTACTTCTTCCCGGAAATTTTCTTCAAGGGGCGCTCCGTCTTAGCTATGTCTCTGACGAAGCTTAAAAAAGCACTTCCTCCAGATACAAACTCGAAATCATTTTTATTTTCGTACTCAACCCATCAGACCTTCGTACAAAAAGCTAGTGACGGAACCAGACCAGTGGCGAATTGCTGATGCCAGCGGAGGCTTTTTCAATTTTCTTTGATATAATCGTCGTACAATGCTCAAATCCTTCTCTTCACTTCGATACTCTGAGATCTTTATTTTGACTTGCTTACAAAATCGAATAATTATTTAGGACTTTTTATTTTTCTTCTCTTTTCATTAATAATTCAGTAACTCATTTTTCAACATATTTTAGGAAGTAACAATAATTTGAAAGAAAATGCTTTACAACGTTGATTAATTGTCAAATTGATGATACTAGATAAAAAAAAGTGTGGATGTAGATCAACATGAGAAAGAAAAACAGATCAAGCGATTTTTTCCATCGCGCCAGTAGACATCGGCCATTGTAGTTCAGCAAGGGTGGGCAGTGAGAGTGACCACCGCGTTGTATTTCCCTCTGGCAGTTACAATCACCCATTTGAAGTGAGCATTAGCATCGACATTCATAATTGGAATGACCATTTCCAGGAGCATCAACATAAGAGTTACCTTCATGATATTCATAGTGTAGATGTGGGGTGTCAATGCTATCGTGTATCATATGCACACCCACACCCTATAGTCCATCCTAAGTTATTTCGACAAATGTTTTTGTTCTCAATCTCAGAAAATATGACATTTTTGTGAGTATATTGTGAATAGATAAGGAAATTGGCCATTATGGGTCTCTAACTGAAAAAAATAGTAAAAATATTATTATTGTATACAAGCAGCTAATCATAAATGATGAAACTTGAATCAAAAACGAAAAACTTAGAAATGGACTGCTTTTTTTATTCATAAAATGATTTGCGTATTGTTTTTATTATATAAAATTTGATGATCTGAGCAATAGAAATAAAGAAAATTTAGGACACATGAATTATAATGGCTAGATGTTTCGAAAACTCTTTACTGAGGCAAATACCTATATGTTGAATTCATTTTATCGATTAAATTATTTTGTTCGGCAACCATATGTATTTCTTTTTTATTTGCATATTCTGTAATCGGGCTAGAAATCTTATGTTGATGTGAAATAATCTTTTGATAAATATCAAAGAATCTTTGTTCTTAGTATGTTTTATGCATTTTTTCCGTCTCTGTCATTTGATTCTTTCTTTACCATTCAATATTTCGAGCGAGGTAAAGCTTTGAGTAATGTCTGTATTTAAGATATGTTCTGAATTCATTCTACGCAATTTTTCTTTTGTATTACCACTTTGGGTATTTTTTTTCTTGGTTCACACCAGCAGAAAAATTTTTATTGATTGGTGGACATATCTTTAACTCTTGCTGTGGGCACTTCAATATGCGATTATCATTTATTGATAGACCGGATTGAAAATGTGAAGAATTTCGAATGCTTTAAGTTTCTAAGAGAATATGAACTATCAGACTGCTAGGGTCTTAGGACCATCAGTTGAAGCAAATAAAAAAAAAAAAAGAATATGAACTATCAAGAAATCATGTGTAGATGACAACGAACTCACCTTTGCTTATACCATTCTTTGTAGAAATGTTTTGGAGTTGTTAAAATATGTCCACTTGATAGTTGGTCACGTGTGTTTTCCCAATTTTCTATTAGAAAAATAAATAGTTTTATGAACATTCCAATGAATTGCATAAATCGAGTATATTTCCGCAAAACTAAAGATGTTCGATTCGCGTCATCGGCGACAGAAAATAACACTCCATGTCACTGTCATCCGATCGATTTCTATTGTGTTTTCGAATGTTCCTTGCAAGCATAATCTGATCAGTATTCATCGGAGAGATTATATGCTCTTTTCGACGTATTTTGATGGGAATCAGTCGGAAACTCGTCAGGATTTTTCAGATTGAGAAAATTGACTGGAAGACGGTATATATGAATCGTCCTTAACAATATTAGAATAAAACAAAAAACAGTCTAGTCTAGCATGATTTCATCAGCAGAAACGAGCTATCTAGAAACAGAGATTTGTATGTTTTATATTTTAGATGACTCAATTAATTATATTTTGGCTTTTGTATTATCTTTCACTTTTAATGATCACAACTTTTGCTATTGCTAATGTGGGTCTTCAAACTCAGAAAGGACTTATATATGGTTGAGAAATTCAATACTCAATTGAATACTTGGGATCAGATATAAATGAATCGATTGGAAGGCATAAGGAAACAATATTGCCACGGATCACCGAGTCCTACAGATAAGATACATCTGAGTTTAGTTTTATGCGAAACAACCAAGATGCTTTCAGATTTCAAATTCTATGTCAAACCTCAGGACATTGGCAAATTATTTGTGATAGAAAAATGCGTTTTTTAATTAAGAAAAGTTGATCGAGTTTCGTAATTATTAGTTAATAATATTAAATAGAGAGTATGGCCTTCTTTGCATTTCATATAGTCTTGACAATATCTGATATACGTGAAAAAACCCATTATATGCTTAGCTTTCTGATTTTCACTGGATATAAGATGTTCCTGCAGTTCTGACAGAAAAGAAAATTGAATATTTGCATCGTGTTTCTACTAAATAACGTAATTTTGTTTTTTAGTGATACAATTTTAGCGTGGCCTGTAAAACTTAAGAGAAGTAAATCTGAACAAGAGCTTATTCTTTAGCTGAAGTAATCGACATTTCAATATACTCTGATGGGTGTGTACATGTCTTCTTAATCGTAACACATAACAATTTTATTCCTTGTTATAGACGAACAACTGAGAAAAATCTTCCCATTTCGATTTATAAGATGCAGATTAATTTCATGTTGTCGAAGATGACAAAGCCTCTGCATGATTTCTGAAAATATAACGAAGAATAAAAAGAAATAAAACCTTTTCAATCGCTTATTTTTACCTGCACTAATTAGAAACATAGACGATCGTAGAAAGAGAAGTTGGAATTGACAAGGATTCTCAATAGAAAAATTTGATTTATAAAACGAAAATTTTTCTAAGCAGTAAAAAGTGATCATCTGGCATTTTTTAGGATACTACATGCTTCTTTCAATGAAACTAGTATTAGGGAAGAAAAATATTTGAACGCGTGAATTCTAGGAAGACATATTCACTAAAAAAGAGTCGTTTTTCTGTATTTCTCGATACCGAATGAAGTAATTTTAGTCTTCTTTGCTTCTATGGATAACATTATTATACTAGAGGAAAGTTCCATGTTTAGTTCGCCAAAAGCAAGTTAGCGAATATCGCTATAAGTATCGTCATTGCTTGCAGTATACAAATTCGAACATATTATTTTAGTTGTTAAAACACATCAAACCACTTCGAGAAATATAGATAGTGCATATATATGGCTTGTAAAAATCAGTATATTTTTGAATTTTTGAATTGAGATAAAAGATGACATATCCTTGGAATTTGTAAGTTAACATTTTTATACGTAAAAAGTAAAGCACAAAAAGCTTTTAAGATCACTAAAAAAAGGACTAATTCATCCGGTTGAAACATACTGAAAATATTCGAATTTGTCATCCTATCCTGCTTTGTGCAACAACTCGTAGTTATACATGCAACTTATTTTCTCAATCTTAATTTATCCATAATAATAATTCTTTTAACATAGAATCCAATATTCTAAAATAAATCGATGGAAACTACCAATGGATCTTGTATCTGATATGTTTATAAATGGTTCGTTTCAAGCTACTTCATTTAGATCATGTTGTCCTCAAAAGGATACTGGAATATATATACCAATGCAAGATGAACAATGTCTCTATCTAAACATCTTTACATCAAAAGCGAAATTCAATCAATCACTACTACCAGTTCTTGTTTGGATTCATGGTGGTGCTCTACAAGTTAGTTGTTCATCGCAAAGTATTCCATTATTATATAACGGTACAAATATTGTTGCTCGTTCACATCAGCAACCAGTTATTATAGTAACAATTAATTATCGATTGAGTATATTGGGTGACATGTATTTGAATGAATTAACTCAAGAAAACCCAATAGTATGGCCAACAGATGGTAATTATTTTTATCTCGACATGTTATCTGCATTACGTTGGATCAATAAAATAATTCGTGACTATGGTGGTAATTCCCACAATGTTTTATTATTTGGAGAAAGTGCAGGAGCTAAGGCCGCTATCGATATAGCTGCATTAAGAGGATCATTCAATCTCTATCGGCATGTTATATCACAATCAGGTAACGCTGATAATTATCTATATTATACAAATATGAGTAATGCTCTTAATGCATCTAATAAAATTGTTCAACCAATGAAGTGCTCAAATAGAAATAGTCAACAGATGCTTGCTTGTTTACGCAATTGTTCTATTGAAGACTTAATCATTGCTTATGGTGATCGTCAAACAAAAAACCAATCATTCATGATTATTTTTTTCCATTTTATCCACCTGCAGCAATTCAAAATGGAAAATATAATCAAATTTTAAGTATAATCATGGGTAATAATGATTATGAATATCCTAAGATGAATTCAACAGATGCTATATCAGTGTTAATATCATCTATGGGTCAAAAATGGGCCGCAATAGTAGCTGATTATTTTCAATTGAACAATTGTTCATCAAATATTAATGCCATAAATCGATGTTGTAATGTAGTTCGTTTAGTATTGATGAACAAACTTTTTGTTTGTAATGTCCATCGTATATACAATAATTTGTATTCTAAATATGGTCCACAAAAAAAATTATTTTGGTATCATATCAATTGTAATCCAGGGGTATGCCCTCAGTTATCAATAGAGGAAGATAGTGGCTTATGTGTGCACGCAATCAAAATTCTTTACGTTTTTGGAACTGTCAGCTCGTATGGTTCAATAAGTTTACAAAATTGTACATGGGATAATCAATCCCACATATTTTCCAATCAAATCATTTCACATTGGATCCATGTAGTTACAACAGGAAAACCATTGGAGCCATGGTGCAGCTATGGTCTATTGACACCAAAATACTTTTATATTACACCCTATGAGGATTTTTCAGTCGTATCATGGAATGGAAGTTGTTCAATCTTTAATCAAATTGAGCAAGAAGCAGTATCTTCAATGTTTGGAAATAACAGTCCATCTTATTGCAAAAATTCACATATTTATGGTATTTTTCATCATATTATTTTCAATCTTTACAGCTCACAGTATTCATCTCTATTCATAAGAATAGAATTAACCGGGAAAACAGTATCAAGTTATATAAACAGCGAAAAAATTCGTATAAATGTGTCGAAATTTTGACGAAAATGAATTCGTAAAAAGAGCAGTTTTTCGACGCTATTTTCATCAAAATATTGAGGCGTTTTTCGCATTGTTAGTCGAATTATGATAGTTCCTTAGAAGAAACTTTTGAAATGTTTGAGTTCTTATTAAGATTTGATCAAATTGTTGAGTTTTTAGTGTTTCTTTTCAAGAAGACGTGTTGGACACTGGATTCTTAGAAAAAGCTGATGTTCGAAATTTCAGCTAAAATTGTGCTTATTTAGAGCATTGAATTATACAAGCTACCATAAGGAATTTCAGAAGTTTTGAACGAAGTTTCTCTGAGAAGTGAAACTTTCAAAATATAATTCTTCTTCCATAGATCGTGAATAGATGAGGAAATTTTGGTATCCCTAATAGGCTTTGTTCAGAACTTATGAAGTTCTTTATGACAGCTAGCCAAGATTAGATATGGGTGTGGGTGGATGTGAGTCTTCTCTTCATTAACATGCACACCCATACCACCCACACATCCACATCCACACGCAAGCTTGCATATATTGTTCTGATATTCAATTGAATTCATAGCTGTATTATATGAGTCATTGTTATATTGTAAAAGTAGTATATAGTAATTAAGTGCTTGAAGATTGTTGTCAATGACTGTTTAATGTTACATCGATAGTTTTTATTTCACGAAGATTTTTCAAACATTGCAATAAAACATGTGTAAGTTTAACGGCGACACTGGCACCCTTTTCTAATAAATGCCAAATATGTCGTGCACTTGTTTTTTCGCAGCAAACACAATAGAACCGACGGACGGAAGATGAAAAAGAAAAAGAATCATGCTTACAGTACTGACTCTCTATATCAGAAGTGAATAGTGGTTAACTTTAAGAGTGCGCATAAGAACAGAAAGAAAAACACATTTTATACTTTCACATAAAAAAATAATCTTTTTCAAGATCTCTGTTTAGTGTTACAAAAATGCGTTACGTGATGTAGAACTTCAAATTTTATCTAATTGTAATGTCCTTAGCTCCGAAAAATAAGAGAAAATGTTGGACTAAAGGTGAAAGAGTCTTTTTATACTCCTTCCTAATTTCAGCTTTGCGACGGGACGAGTTTGTTCGTGCAGCTTATTATTTATTGTTTATGTTTCAGTTATAGATTGAGTTGGATTATGGGTAATACATCATCTTCTACTGATGAAGATAACAGTTCGACTTTGCCATGCAGCTCTGGTTCATCATTACGACCTAGAATTCTCATCGAAGCTGAATCACTACGAGCTGAAGCACAACAGCTAATGTTCCAAGCGAAAGCAGCGTCGGAACAATCTCACATTGAATATCATTCCGGTTATAAATCGGAAGCAAAAATATTATCAATAAAAAAAACGAATCTCTACAGACAGATGAATGAGAAAAACCAACAAGCCGCTAAATTAATTTTTAAACATTTTAACCAAGATCGTCCAAATAATGTTATCGATTTACATAGTCTTTATGTTGAAGAAGCATTGCAATATTTGGAAAAAAAATTAGATGAATGCCATTCAAACAATATATCACAATTAACAGTTATTACAGGGATAGGAAATAATTCCCAAGACAAAATAGCAAAAATTAAACCAAAAGTGGAAAACTTCGCACGCCAAAATCACTTGAAAATGACCCCCTATGGTGGACATGTTGTGATAGATTTAACAGAAACGAATCATCAAGACACGAATGGATGTATAATTTTGTAGAATCTTTAGCTTGTTTTTTTCTTCTTTATTTTATCTCATTCTTTTTACGTCGTCTTCGTGCCCCTCGAATAGTCGCAGAAAGGACACAAAAAAAGACATCAACGTCTATTACACACATATGCTGACTCTATTTTTATATTGTGTTTTGTTCTCTTTATCCGTGCAAATCAATAACTAACAAAGAATATGATATGAATTGATGCAGCATAGCAAGAGAAAAATCCTTTTTTTTAGGTTGATTTCGACTAAGATACTATCCCGAGGTTGTACGACGATGGACATACGTATAATTACATTCGTCTTGGTTGTCATATCATGCATTTTTATTGTTTTTTTTATACTTCAACAAGGACGAAAATTCATTAATTCTATATGTTACATATAAAAGTTACCTGATTGTAGGTCATTTATTTTCTTTTCTTCGTGATCAAACACAATTTTTGTTCGATTGTCGACAACGATATGGTTCATGTTTTTAAAAATCCGAGTATTCAATCAACGTTTTATATTGGTACTTTCTCCACCGGATTGGACAACTATTCTTCGAAATTCATCATTCTATCTTCCATCCATCGATATTGCTGTGCCAATATTCGATTTATCCAGTTCTTTTACCGGCGTCTATGAAAATTTGATATGACTAAGTAATGATTAAAAAAAATTGATATTTTAAAGACCATCCAGCTTAGATGTAGAAGGTCATCGACAATATGTAAAATATTTGAAAAATCGTGACGGTCTACGACCGATGATTATTGAAATTATTCATCGATTACACGAATTGATGTAACGTGAAAAAGCGATACTTAAAAAGAATGGTACAATATCTGAGTGGATATCAAGTAGTCTATTAGAATTCAGTCATCATATGATTTTTCAACTGTCAGCACTTGCATTATTTGGAGAGATCGATCCAGTTTCATTGGATGTCGATTTTCGCGTATTTGATGATAATTTTCATTATTTTAGTGCCGGTTTACCTAAATGGTTGTATTTTTGGTTCTTCTTCAAAGGATTAAAAGAACGTTCTTGATTAAATAGTTCATGGTTAAAAAACTCTATCCACCTAGTAAATATGAATTTATACGAGCTCGAACAACTCTTTTTCTTAATAATTATGATTAGGTTTCACAAAAAAAGACCGTGACGGTAACCAAAGAGGGTTTTTTTGTGAATCATTAGGCAATACTATTCCTGCTGTCTTTTGATGTGGGTGTGGGTGATGATTTGTTCTAAACCGACATTTTCACCCACATCCATCCAGACCCACCCACGACCATACCCACACCCGAAATGGATGATTGTGATGATAATTCAAGTAGGAATTGCTTTTGAAGAAAAAGAAACGAAATATCTATTTGAATATTTTAGACGAATGAAGGATATGGGTTTTGGTGCAGCTAAAAAGAGAACACACACTCTGGATTAAGACTTGAGAGAGTGGTTGTCGATTTAGATAAGACTCACACCCTCAAAAATAAGTGTCTAATAAAAAAGAGTGTAGCTCATTTTGTTTTTCAATTCAGAATATTATATTCACTTTTTAGAGCATTACACCATTGTCAAAAGAGCAAGATGAGTGCATGAGATCGATTGAATACTCTAGAAAAGTTCAAGCGAAAAGATCTTTAACATAATATCATACGTTACAAACACGTTAGACTGGACAAATCTCTTACTGTGATATTGATGGAACATGTATATCTGTCTGCGAAGCTAAGGATTAAAAGCAATTCGAATTTTCAGAAAAGCAGTTTATCAGATGTGCAGAGAGAGTTAAAACATTTCAAAGATATAAAGCCACTTCAAATTTTTTTAAATTCATTATCTATTAATCAATATTTTGATTATCGTTTTGCCTTGTGCTGAAATATTTCCGTCTGTAGAAGATATGCATTGATCATCTACCTTGTTGCACGGGGCTCTGAATGTGCCACACTTATGACTGATCGAGACGTTGCAAAATGAACATCACCAAATGAGTCGTTTTTTTTTCTGTGAGTATACACATGAACAATGGTTACAAGCATCACTAAATTTGCTACTAGGCAAAGATGTTCTTGCTTCAACTAAGATCCAACTATGTTGTCGACTCTCCTCAATTTGGGATAAACAAATAGTTAAACCAATGAAAACAATTTCAATTAATTATTTTGGACAACGTTGAACAATTATTTTAAAAGAACTATATATTTTTTTATTTGGCGTTAAATTAATTTATCATGTATGAAATTCAAATATTTTTTGTACAAACATATAAAATACATGATACAATATTTATAAACCATGATATAGATTTTTTTCTTAATTAAATAGTAAGAAAATAAATAAATTGAGATATGGGTGAAGATCAATGAAAATTAGGCATCCTTATCCACACCCTCATGAAAAAGAGGATACATTCAATGAAGCCATAAATAATTTTACATCTGTAATAACTAAATGGTAAAACATTGACGACAAGAATCGATTAATAACAGTAGCAGAAGTATGATGAATAAAATTACTTGAAACCAAAAAGTTCAATAAATCTTGATTGTGTACAGCAAATGAGGTACTTTTGAATGCATCGTAAATTTTGGCTGATACATATTATTCATATTACATTTTTTTAAAATTCACATCAACCCATTATGGCTTCGTATACCATTCGAAGACCGGGTGCGGCAAGAGAAAGAATTGTAATGGAGAATAGAAATGCTTGAGGTAACATGCATACAGCAGAACGTTTGTATTGATTCTCATAATTTTGAAGCAGACGAAACTTCTCTTATGTGCTGTTTCAGTAGCGCAAAAGAAAAAAATTATTTTATAAAGCCAGATAAACCCTATCATGTTGTCATCACTGATGCGAAAACTGAGAATGCAGTTGATAATAGCAAGGATATGGATAGCTGGCATCAAACAGAAATCTTAATAACAATGATGTTGAACCTGAAGTTACATAGACTAAAGTATCTAACACGGAAAAAATAGTCAGCAAAAGTACTGATAAAAAACGAAATATTGGCAGAATTCTAAGAAATTTCAATAAGTAGCCAGACGGTCGGGTTGTTTCCATGGGTAGATTCATAATGCTTCGGCTAATTAGATCTTGAGAACTGGAATCCATTTCAAATGAGAATTGAGTAGTTGACAGTATCATTTTCTATTTTGTTTGGTGTTAGAGCACGTTAAAGTTGCAAAGAGCACTTTAATGCTGTTCAAAAGGGACGTCATCTTTCAATGAAGCCTAACTACCAGCACACACATATAAACCGACTTTTCTCGATAGTCGATGATGCTTTTGTATTCAGTTGTATGGATCAATACTTTGGAAGTTGTCTATGTTATCGAATTATTGAAAAGAAACTTGAATATCTGTGAGATATTTCCACTAAGTACATATACTTATTTTGTACTCCTAGCAATAAGTATTTCAGTTTCATAAGAAAAATGTAGATAAAGATTGATTTTCAGTTTCTTCAATACAAAAAAAGTAATATTTTCAAAATTTCTAAAAAATTATATATAACTCGAAAGCAAAAATCAGCAGCGTAGCTATTAATAGTTCTTTTCTTTTAATTTAAAATGTTGTCTAAACCTAATACAAGAATTTAAAATAAATCTAATATAAGAGGGAGACAATCGTTAAAAGAGAATATCTTCTTCGATGCGTAAAGATTTAGAGATTTAAAAAAATTACGAAAATCTCAGCTATTTAAAAAAATGATTAACTTAAAGAAAAAGTGTTTTTCTAAGTTTTTTGAATATTTGTAAATTATCAACGTTTTCGAAATAATATACATTGTGAAGGTCTTGATTCGAAAATTTTCAAAATTTCTTTTTTTTAGGAAATCTAAGCTCTACTGGCATGCATTGGATAACTAGTTATCAATCTTGTATGTCAATATGAGAACCATCGACAATAGTGAGAACAATTATTCGAAAAAAAATACATATCTTGTTAGTTTCAACTTTCGAAATCTATTGGTTTTTTAAATTCGTTAAAACTACTTTTTTCCTATTGAAGCCAAATCTGACTAAAGACAACTATAGTACTTCTCATGATGAAACAAATATGAGCCGTGATAAGAGATGCAACATATCTATTTGGCACGGTTATCACGGTTATTTTATTGTAACCCAATTGGTTACGAAATAAAGTAAGCTGCTTTCTTTATTAGATTCAGAAAGAATTAACTATTACACTCAGAAGTCATTATAATGTTCTGCATTCATATACAACTGAGATTACTAATGTGAGAATTTTCGAGTTACAATAGTTGATGGATTGTATAATTTTACTAGATAGTCACTCGACCGAACTAATTGCAAAGATAGTTTTTTTTTCGGAGAATCATTGCTACAAATAATCCATTTCTAATTATATTGGCGAATAATTATGAAATTAATGTAAATCAATTTAGTAAAACCTCCTAAGTGAAGCCTTCGACTTATTGGAAGACCTCTCTAAATAGCAATTGTTTAAAAAATAATTTTATTAATTTGCAGACTAATTTTGAGTGGAAAAATCTTGACAAACAACTAATAGGAAAAAATAGTCTATTGAACAATCGGTGTCTTTATTCAAAGTATATCGTAGAGTCACTTTGGTGCACTTTTGCATCATAATCACGAAAAGTCTTTAGGTTTTCTATAAGAAGTCCACATGCAAGCGAATTACACATGAAGAGGGTGTGGGTTGTTTGGTTGTCACATGGGACCACACCCACATCCTACAAAAGTCGATTCAAATGAACAAATGAATGATGAAAATAATATTTCTTCAATGAGTTTAGAACAAAATCTTTTACCTTATCTTCTATCTATTAGTGCTAGTCATAATAATATAGATAAATTATCAAATTATATTAACGAATATCCAAATTTACAAGTATTTTATTGTTTTTATTGTAATAATCATTGTTTATCACATATAGCTGCTATTAAAAGTCAGTTTGAAATAATTAGATATTTATCTTAATATTGTTCAAAATCTCATTTTCAACAAATTATCAAATGAGAAGATCGATGGAATTTTTCAACTTTAGATTCTGCATTTATTTATAAACATAATCATATTATTCATTTTATTAAACAACAAAAGATTTATCTTTTTTTAACATTGTCTGCATCAAGTAATGTACAGCGAATTGAATCACTTTTAAATTGAGGATTTTTTTTAAACAAGAATTATATGCAGATTATGATAGAAGAACATCAATGGATCTAGCTACAGCTTATGGACATATTGATGTTATTTAGCTTCTGACACATTTAGATTATCATGAAATTACTCATACAAATCGTTGGAGATATTCTCCTTTAGATATTGCATTCCAAATGAAATGTATTAATATTATTTATATACTCCAGCAACCAACACATTAACTAATTTTTACTTTTTTCTTTAATATAAATATAGAAACTATTCATTCACAGAGAAGCTTATACACTTCTCTATAATTAGAAAGATTTTTGAATTCTTTTTACTATACCTCTGAGACATTTTCTTAAACACTCGAGAGCTGTCCAGATTTCTGAAACAGGATCAATGGCAACGTCAATAATTTTGGACTAGTGACTGAATTCGAGATTCATGTTGTATTTCAGACTCGTGTCTATGGTGATATTTTCACGTATTGAATTTACAAGTCAACAAAGTTTGATCGATGCTTTTACTGAATTTCAAGGCAAAAACCGAGATACTAAGATTGTCATTGTATTGCATTTTTCTCTTGATTCTGGAATGTTGATCATTACTTTGACTATATTAAATAGGTCCAGCCTTTTTTTCGATGAACGACTGAAAAGAAACAACATTTTTCTCCTTGAACTATCAGTACCAATATCATATTAATTTTCTTTATGACAGGGTTCAAAGTTGATATTATTCAATTTACATTAATTATTAATTGTGATACTTCTTCTTCTCGAATAAATATGTGAAGAGATAAATCTTGTTCGAGATAAGTAAAATATTGATTTCTCGTATCGAGATATATTTACCCGTCATGTCAATGTATTTTCTAATTGAATTTTAATAGAAACTTCATCAACGACGTTTGGTGCCGAATCAGGTACTAAATTGAATTTTCTATTTGATCTACATCTTTCGACTGATTTAGATTAAAAAGATTTCTCATTATAATGAAAAGAAGCTCTACAGAATGGCTTGATTGATTTGAGTAGTCCATATAATAAGAAAGTTATAGACTTTAAAACAATACCTCACAAAAGACTAAAATTAAGCGTGAACTTGGTCTAAATATTTTCTTCTCTAAACTTTAATTACCCGAGACGAAACAATTGAGAACTTAGTAAATTTGATATTGTTTTTGACTTGAAATTTTTCTTTTCCCATTATTTCCGTTATACAGCTTAGTAAAAGTAATCACTCAGTTGAGTTTTGTATATTCAAATCAGAGCTGCTAGCCTGGTCTGATCAGGCTAGAAAATGTTTGACCTGGCCTGCAGGTTAGGCTAAAGCTTTTAGCCCGGGTATGATTTAATACTAACATTTACAGTATTCAATTCTAAGAACAAGACGACTACACGAGTCGATGATAATTTCCTCTGATATTTTCTGTTGATCATCAAGTCAAATGAATGCTTTTATACGTTTTATGAGGTTTTTTGACCGTGTTTGTTACGATTAACTTTCAGTTCTCGAATATTTAGAATTTTTCAGTCTCTTTTTGAATTTTCTCTTTTGATGATACACAGCTACAATGATTTCTAGCACTTCTTGTTACAAAACTATTTATAATTCTTCTTACTTATTCAATCTTATACTAAGGAAGAACGTGTTACTCGGTTAAAGAGTTTCATGGTTCCAAGAGCTGGTCTAAACTAGAATCAAATTCAGAGTTTCGTTTAATGAAAATGATGGAGAATTAAGTCTTGTCCACGCGTAAAATTATCGTGTGAATAAAAGTCATCAAACCGTAAGATTAGTAGAAGGTTTTAAGCTAATGTTAAGAAATTCTCATTCGTACGTATTTGAGATTGAAGATACCTTACATATCAGCAAGTATTCAAG